ATACATATATCCATTATTAGCCAGACTTATTATACCTTTATGCTTATAAAACTTCCTAAATCAAGTGTATACAGCGTATTTAATAAATCACTTCGCTTGTAAAGATGTACTAACAGCGCATTACCTTTCTTTTGATAGAACCAGATGAATTTCATCGATCAGTATATATTTAAAAAGAAATCATCGCAGTTTCATGAAGTGAACTACTTAAAATCTGTTTTCATGATACTCACATGGGTTCTTGCATGTGAAAATTCACTCCACAACGTGTGTCAATATTCAAGTTGATATCATTCGATAGAGCTCATTGAATTACACCGATTAATATGTAATTTACAAAATCTAATAACAATTTTCAATTGCTTTTTACAGCTGATGATATAAGTAAACGATGAGAATAGAAAATATTCTATATACCGACTCACTGAACGATGTGTGACAATACTCAAACTGATGCGATTCGATAGATCTGGATTTGCTTGATCGATTGATTTAGAATTTATTGTATCTAGCAATATTTTTCAAGAAGATTAAATTTAAAGAACGAACAATGGAAAGTGTAGATGGATTGTTTTATTTTGAGGTCTGATCTGAGAATGTTGTTTATGAACACCGTCGTTGAACAGTCATTGTAAGAGAGAGAGAACATTAAAAAATGATCAAGTTGTATATCACCTCTCGTATGTTATTTGAAAATATTGTCTGCTATAAAAGGAAGCGATGAACCAACTGATGTGAAATGAGAGAGAGACAGAGAGTTAAGTTCTATTTTGTTCCACTTTATTTTCGCATAAAGCAAAGAGGAGGCAGAAGCATATGTCGTTGATATGGTCGGTACTATTTTTTATCTATTATTTTACTTTGATGAAACTCAGTTAGATTTGATCCTTGCGAGTTAATGTGAAATTTTTTAATTCTCAAGCTCTAAATTTCATCGATAAAATAGTAGAATGAGTTTTTGCATTATTTGTCGATAAATTTCTGTGAATATTTGGATTTAACTAGAGAAGATAATACATTAATATAAAGATCGACTTAGTATAGTTTATGTTTTTTTCCTATTAATGTTAGTTTAAAAAGCTTTGGAAATAAAATTATATTGATTGACTAAACTTTTTTTCGTGTGAATAAAGAAGAATTTCTCTCTGTTAGTAGTCTATGTGTTTTTTACCTGAAATTTTGAAAAAAAAGTAGATCTTACAATAATGAGTTCTTGATGTTTTATCAGACTAATATTCATTATTTTTCAGATACAGAAAAAGACTTTGGAGTCCAAATGAAATACTTCATGTAATCAGCTCAACAAAAATAAAAAAACAAGAAAAATTTATATTCCAAATGATAAAATTATCAATGTAATATCGAATCTCGAATTAAAAGCAGTCGAATTAAACAAGGATAGAGTATGGAGATCCAATGGTTCTCTATATGATTCTAGATAGCTACTCAATTGAGTTTCACATTATCTATTCAAAACATAATGGGTATCCGAAAATTCATTTAAGCCACATGAAATCGAGAGTCATCGAATATTAGATCATATTTTACAACAGGATCCAACGTCTGGCGAGATTCCTTCATATATGTAACAACTTTCGTCGTTACCAAGTGCCGCACAAGTTGCTACAAAATCAAGAGAAAGACAAGTATCCAATACACGTGCTGAAAAGAATGAAAGACAAGAATGCTTAGTTGAGTTTACATACGAATAGTGGCATCAGGTAAGTTTTATCAATTATTCTAAAAGTTCAAACCAATGAGATGTATCACAGGCAAGATAGTGTTTTACATTGTTTAGATTCATCATAAAAATAATGAGTTACCTAATTCACGTTCAATGGATCCATCATGGACAAACATATTCTTCAAAATATTAGTTGATTCGAAATTAATTACATGTGGTCTTAATTTTACGAAATCAAAACTTCGAAAGAAATGTTCTCGGAAACGTAACGTACATTTAATTGCATGTCGAGTCAAATGTTAACATCCTTCTTGGAATGTAACTGTTCGTATGGTTATGGATAAAACCTGTCACTACCGGTGAAAAAGTTACTTTTCGCGTATATATTAGTGGTATTCAGAATCATAGTAATCCATCAATTGCCATTGGTCGTCCATGTAAGGGTAATGAGCGACGTGAAACATTCTTTCTGATAATGGTCCTCAATTTATTGTTGAACTATTCGCTGAAATCTGTCGTTGCCTTAGTATTAGTCGTAAACTAACCTGACTGAACGTGTTAACCGTATGTTAAAAGTTTTGATCGCTATTTACACTCAAAATCATTCCAATTCTCGGGATAAAGAAATTCAGAAATTGGCTTTTGCCATTTGCACTTCTGTTAATGACATCATTGGTGATACACCTCCTTCTCTCACTTTTAATCGTGATCTTCAAACCCCTCTTAATCTTATTCTTTCTTCTTCTTCCCCTAATCCTCCGGGGTTATAGACTGAAATCAGGGTTCTTCGAAAAATCCTTATATCTCTTAAACAGAATAAGCTAGAAATGTCGGGTTTGCTTAGATCAAAAGAGAACATTTTTTGTCTATCAAATGGTCATATCACAAGTTAAAATCCAATTGGAAAAAAAACATTATAAACTGTCGTTATCAAAATCTTGTCGAAAAATTCACCTCATTGATCAACTGATGACCCTTCACATTTTGACACGGTTCGATGCCCCTCAAGATTTGTTTTGAAATGGCGAAAACCGCAGATATCTAGCTCTTTCTGTTTTCGAGTTATTGCAAAAATAGTCGAGTCCACTTTCTTTCTAGGCAGACACTAGTTGAAATACTTTTATCTTATAACAAAACTAATGAAATATAACACATCTTAAGAGATACTTTAAAATTAAGTATAGATGTGCAATAAATAACGACAAAGGAATTATGAATATCTCTTACCTTGTGCGCCGTTCAAACTTTTATTTTGGTATATATATAACTTATTTTTCTATGAAATATAATTATTCATTAAATTTTTCAATTTCATCGGAAATTAATTTAGTTTTTGATATTCATTCGATAGATATGTGGACGTTCATAAACATGCTATAACTCTCACAGCATGCTTAACAAAAAATTATTTTTAATATCAGAATAGAAATAATGCTTATCACAAAAAACAACGATAAAAGACTTTTCCTTATTTTTCTGTTGACTATATAAGTCATAAACATTTAATAAATTTTTAATTTTCTAAGTGAATTAATTTAAAAAACAGAGTATGAGGCTATTACTAAACTGATAAATAATAAATTATTAATTGTATATGACGTTGAAGATTTAAAGTATAGAGATCATGTTTGAAAACAAAAAGATTTATTATTTTAATTAATATGTATATCAAAATTTTCTTAACTTACGTTTCTACAAATAAAACCATTTAATCGATTTTTATCCGAAAGCTAATATATTTTTTTGATTAAACTTGATGATTAAATTTATAGAATTTTTTTAATACTTAATTACATATTCTACAATATTTTCGAATTAAAAAAAGTGTTTTTCTGATAAATATTAGCACATTTAACATTAGTTTCTGTGTTACATTGAAATACAGAACTAAAACAATGTTCCCTTGACTCTTCGTTGTCTACAATGGGAGGAAGGCAAAAGAAATATATAAAAAGCGCACTGTGAGAGACAGAACGAAAGGAAAGCGACAATAAAGCTCTCTGTACTGCGCTCTAACATCATATCTATCTATTGTACAACGATAAAGAGTAAGCTGATTTGTTATTAATTCGATTTCAAAACCAGAAGACTTCGGATGATTTCATTTTGTAGAAAAAGAATTCATCTTACTTATATAGACTAATATCTCTAGTTATTCAAAGAAAATAATATAAGAATTTGTAAAATATTAGTAGAGAGAAAACAATTTTCAATCTCAATAAGATTTTTTTAGGGAAAATTATTCATTTTTTTTGTTTTACAAACTTCTTATATTATCATCGATGAGAAAAATTTGTGCATTGTCATAAATAAAATTTTTTTTTGCATTGAATTCTAGAAGCTTCATGTTAAAAAATATTTTCTATAAAAAGAAAACATGCACTGCAGATGACCCGATGAGCAATAATTGTAATAAAAATGATTTTTATAATTTTACCTAGAGTTCCGAAGAATAATTTTCAAATGGAAATAAAGATGACAAGAATGTTTGTATTTCTTGAGTTCGTTGTCTTTATTATACATAAGGTGGATCTATCGAACACTTCCTATGTATAAAATAAATTATTTATAAGAAAAATATTAATTATATTTTCTGCACTCTAACTTCATATCTGTCTATTGCATAACGATAAAAAGTAAGATGATTTAATATTAATTCGATCTTAAACCAAGAGAACTTCAAATGATTTTATTTCTTGAAGAAGAATTTATCTTATTTATATAGACTAATATCTCGATTTTTTCAAAGAAAATAATATAAGAATTTAAAAAATTTAGTAGAGACAATACAGTTTTCAATCTTAATAAAATTATTCAAGGAAAATTCTTTATTTATTTTATTTTACAAAACTATGAAAGTATTATTTAATCAATTAATTTCATATCTTACTGAAATAGTTAAATAAAATAAATTTTTTTTGAAAATTTGTTTATATTTAAATATCTTATATTATTATCGATGCGAAAAATTTATTCATTGTCATAATTAGCATTTTTTTTGCATTGATTTCTAGAATCTATATAATAAAAAATATTTTCTATAAAAAGAAAACATGCACCTAATATGACCCTATGGGCAAAAATTATAATACAAAATAATCTGTATCATTTTTACCTACAGTTCTGAAGAATAATATTCAAATAGAAATAAAGGTGAGAAGAATGTTGGTATTTGTCGAGTTCCTTGTCTATATTATACATAAGGTGGATCTATCAAGTACTAACTATGTACAAAAAAAAAATATAATTTATAAGAAAAATATTAATTCTATTTTCAAATTTATATTTTAGAATTCTACAACATTTCTAACATTCGATGTCATCCAAACGAAAACTACCTGTATCATATTCATCACAAGAAATTAACACCGATTCAAATGTAAATAAATCAGAAAGTTCATCTCGATCAAATACTTGTCGCATATGTGGTGATACAGCACGTATTATTAATTATGGAGCACTTTCTTGTCAATCATGTAAAACATTTTTTCGTCGGAATGGTTTTCGACCAGATGTATGTATTTATGAATCATTTTTAGTTTATTGTAACATATATTGTTTTAATTAATAGAGTGTTCGTTTATGTAATTTTGACAAATGTTGTGAAATCAACATGCAAACACGACATACATGTACAGCTTGTCGTCTTGCAAAATGTTTTATGATGGGTATGAGTTCAGATCTAATTCGTAAAGAAGATACAAAAAAATTAAAGCGTACTTCTTCATTAAAACAAAATTCTACTACTGATCAAAGCACATCTCAAGACATCACGGTTCATGTAAATATTATAATATTTTCATTCTATATATATCTACTAATATTCAATCATTGAAAAATTTGATGTAGAATAATTTTGGACTTGAAGATTAATCTTGTATATTGATTATACTAATCAAGTTGCTAACTTTTGCATACTAGGCATAACAAAGTTTAAGAAAAAAATGAGCTGATTTAGTTCTATTGACAAGTCTATACGGGAATTAAAGTCTAAAACACACATGTGTTGAATCTATACTGATATTATCACATATTCAGATTAAGTATCAAATATTAATAATAAAAGCAATAAAACTACATTGAAATTTTGATATATATATTATTTTATAGAAGTAATTACAACTATTAAAATATATCTATTCAATTTATTTACTTTGTTTAGACTGTACTACAAATAGTTACATCAAATACATCAAATATTCTTCACAGTGATCAATCTTCTCATTTTGATTCTCAGTGGACATTACTATCAAATATTGTACATTCTCATGATACATTTAGTACCATGTCACAAATGCTTATTACTGTCAATAGTTTACCTGCATTAAGTGGTGAAGCACATAGTATTGTGATTAATCCTATTGAAATTATCAATCAAATGTGTATATCAATGCAATCATTTATTAGTTCTTCACCTGATTTTCGAATATTAACTCTTAGTGAACAAACTTCATTGTTCGAACGAAATCTACATTGTGTTATTGCCTTTTATTCAACTCTGTTTTTTCGCCATACAGGCATTCTTCGTATTCCTGAATATCTCAATGCATTTATAACAATATATGGATCTGATATAATGTTATCTTTAAGACATACAAGTGAACAACTAGATCCTGATCCAACATTGATTAAAATCATACTTATTATATTAGCTTTTTCATCCAATTGTCTTATTGTTAATACAAATAAAACGATGGAACGTGATAGTTTATTAGATGGCACATTTCGTCTATTAGGAAGTCAGAATGTTTATGTAGAACTTTTATGGAAATATTTGATTTCAAAATATGGTTATGATGAATCAGCACTTCGTTTCACTCGACTTATACAGATCTTCTTATGTGTAATAAAAAAATTAGCAATTGTTTATACAAATAATGCAATTCACCGAAAAATACTTGATGGTGTTACTGCCAGAACAAAACAAATTCTTGCTAACAACGAAAATGATCGAACTCTTTTATGGGGGAAAGGTTTTGTCAGTCAATTTCAATAAAGTTTTTGCTCATTATCTTTATTTCTGTTTTTGTAAATTATGTGCAATATTGAAATAGTGACGGTTGTCTAGCTGATACAACAGCATGATATCAGGATATTAATATTTTAAATAAAAAACGACAGGTTTTATTATTTTTATTGTTATTAAGATTTGTTAAATATCATAGAATATCTTTTATCAGTACAGAACATCGTTATAGTAGAAATGCAGAATATCAGAAACAATGGTGGAACATTATGAGGTATTTTATCACAGTGGCTCACGACTACAAATCTCTTCTATTATCTGTCGTACAGAAATCATATAATAAAAGTGAAAAAATGTATACTTTACATATTTTGTTTTTCCGTTATCCAATACTAGTCGTACTCAAACTACTAGTTGTACAAAATCAAATAGTTAGTAATAAAATGTATTCTATATCTTCTTATTCAATGTGTAAAACATGCTCTTTTGTGTCATGCTTCTCGATGTAATATTTGTTTTATACAAATAAAAATTAATTAATTTATTTTTCTATAAAACACTATATTTGCAGTTAAAAAGTGTTTTTGAGTTTTGACTTGAAACTTGGTCTATATTTTCACGAGACTTACTCTATTAGTTTTGAAATTGTTTTTTACAATTCACTCTAACAGTACTGTTGATTTCGACAAAGTTTCAATTCAATACTTACAAAATGTTTTTGATTACAAATATGTTGTCCTACAGAGAACATTTGCTATAATCTTCATGTTCCTTTGTAAACTAACTACGAGCACAAACATTTCTTTCTATAATATACACAACTTATTGAGATTTTCAAGACACACGTCATTTTGACTCAAAAGTAAATAATTACTTCACAATATTTCGATTCTCGACGAAAAAATCCACTAGACAAATTATTTATGGTATGATGGTGACTACCAAGGTAGAAGGAGTCATTGAATCAATATTTATCGAAAGAAACCAAACAGAAGAAGAAGAAAAAGAAAGATAAAATATAGTTTACGAAACATCACATGTTAATATATTCTCTGAAATATTTTTTTCATCTTATATGAGTCAAGTATTGTGAAATTAATCTACGAAATAATAATAACATCATCAATGCTATATAAGAAAGTAAAAACATCAAGATGAAGGGGCATAGTAGCCCACAAGTTAAATTAAATATTCAATCTCATAAATTCAAATCAACTTCAAGATAATATTAACATGCAAGTTGATTATACAACACCATCACCACGCTTTTCAGTAACAAATGATGATGCATTAAAAGATGCTATGGCTTATTTGGATCAACATGGTTATGCTGTTATTAGTGATATCATGAATCAAGATGAAATCAATACAAACAAAGATTTATTATGGAAATTTATTGAAAATGCTTCTAATAATACCATCGATCGAAAAGATCCTGAAACATGGTCAAAAGGATGGTAAAAAAAGCATTATACTAATTATGATCTCGTAATATTTTGAACTTGTGTGTATTTCTTAGGCCAAGTTTTAGTACTCATGGTGTTATTAGTGGATTTGGCATTGGTCAATCTGACTTTTTATGGAATGTTCGATCGGATCGACAAATCAAAAAAGTCTTTACTCGTGTTTGGAATAATCAACAATTACTCACTTCATTTGATGGTTGTGGTGTCTTTCGTGATTGGCGTTACAATTCAGCATGGAAAACAACAGGTGGTTGGAATCATGTTGATCAAAATCCTAAAACAAAGCCTGATCGATGTTGTATTCAAGGTTTAGTTTCATTAATGGATCAAAATGAAAAAACAGGTGGTCTTGTTGTTTATCCACAAACACATTTACATTTTACACAATTATCTGATGTAGTAAAGAATAATAATGATTATGTCAAGGTTTCTGATACACATTCAATTATGAATCAAGGAAAAACATTAGGTAAACTTGTACATTGTCAAGCAGGTGATCTCATCATTTGGGATAGTCGAACAGTTCATTGTAATTCACCAGCAACTGCTATTGACGAACGAAATAAAAATGAACCTGTCGATCTCTTACGTATTGTGGCTTATGTTTCGATGAGTCCAATTACTTTAATAAATCCTCAAACAACACTTGATCAATTCCGAGAAAAACGAAAAGAATTGGTGGAAAATAATTGTACATTAACACATTGGAGTACAGAATTTGTCTTAGGAGGTAAAACCTAATAAATGAAATCTTTCAAAAAAAAAGTATATTAAACTTGAAATTTATTTTTAAGGTGGTGGTAACAATACCGATGCTGATCTGCCAAAATTATCATTAGATAAATTTAATGTTTATCAAAAAGCTCTTATTTTTGGTTTCGATGATGAAAATAACGAATAGACATGAATATGATTTATTATTTTATTTTTAACTAACGAGAAATACACAAGATTTTTCTTTTATGTCAATAAATATTTCCAATTAAATAAGTAAATTGACTTCATGAAATCCTATTGATTTATGATATTAATAATTCATCAAATAAATGACGCTCTTTTTAGTACTAAAAATAAATATTATTAAGTTGTATTTTCTATTAAGAATCAAAATTGATAATGTATTTTAATTCAATAGTAGAATATTTAAACATGAATTGCTAGATTTAATAAATGTTTATTTTTCGATTAAATATAAGAAAATGAAATTGAAAACTAAAATACTCAACTTCAATACAACAGATTCAAAAAGCGACTATATTGTGAGACTAAATATATAAAATAGAGTTTATTCTCAAATATTCATCATATTAATTTTGAGGAACTGGTTGTGCACCTGAACCAAATCGACCTTGAAGTTTACTAACTATTGCAGCTAATGCCATCACATCAGTTAAATCAAGTTCACCATTACCATTTCGATCAACTGCTTTAAATAAAGCTTTCGATATATCTAAGTATATTAGAATATTATATTTAAATCAATCATTGATTAGATTACACTAATAAATACTAACATGGTGAAACAGATCCCAATCCTAATCCTTGAAGAATAAGTTGAATATCATCAATATTTATTTTACCATCACCATTTTTATCCAATGATTTAAGTAAACCTTGCATTTGTTGAGCATTTCCAACTGCACCACCTAATTAAAAAAAACTATCGAGAATTAAAGAAAAAAATCATTTAATAACGTACTAATACTATCAAAAAGACCGCCACCGCCACTACTACTACTACTTCCACTACTTCCACTTGTTCCTTTTCCACCTGAGAACATTTTGTAAGCATTCATTGCTCCACTAATTAAATCACCAGAACCACCACCACTACTAGCACCTTGTGCTGCACCACCACTGCTACCCTTGTTGCCAGAAAACATTTTATAAGCACTCATTGCCCCACCAATTAAATCACCACCACCACCACCACCACTTTGCTTTTTTCCACTACTGCCACCCATCTATACAAAAATATATATATATATATATATGTATTAGAACAATTATATTTGCTTTAAATATACTTGATTAAGAAATGATGATCCCATAGACATTAAATCTGATTGTCCGCCACTACTTGCACCAGCTGCTGCCCCTTCTTGAGTTGCTTTACTTCGAAATTGACTTACAAATGAACCTATATCATTGATGCCCACTTGTTTAAGCATACTATCTAATCCTCCATTTTCCAATTGTTCACGACCCATATTCATAAGATTCATTTTTTATTATATTTCTGAAAAAAAAATGATTGAAAAAACAAAGTTATTTCAAGATGAATATGCATATTTGTTTTCTAAATGGTGAATAAAATTAATAAGTATCAAAATTAATTGAAATTATTCAATTGTGTTTACATCGATGTATAAAACTCGTTGTTTATTAAAGATAAATGTACTTTTTCCTTAGTATATTTTATGTGTTTATACTTTACAACGTCTTGTAAAGTAAAAGTTTTTCTCTGGGACCGTCCAAAGAACGATAAACATGATGATTTTTTCGATTAACTAATAAATACTAAACTTGTTCGATGAAATCTATAATTAAAAAAAGAAAGGAAGTTAATCTATGTCTCTATGAATAACAAATGCTGTTTATTCTACGATGTAAAAATATATATAATTGTACGAGAAAATACGAATCATCATAAAATACTGGAAGAAAGAAAAGAAAGACTTGAGTCGAAAACAACTGATACGGATTTTTCATTATACATTAATAGCTTTCTGTCAAATATAATTCTATTCATTGGTTCGTCGGTGCATAGTCAAATATACCTGTATCAAAGATGTCGCTCATAATAAGCGTCATGCCATCTAAAACTGTGTCTTTTAGCTAAGTGTAACATTTCAACCTAACACAGTTTGATAAAAGTGTTCAAATGAAATAATACGTCAAAATTTATTATCAATATTTGAAAGTTTTTTAGTGAGAGCTATCTTTCTAAATTCCGTGTATATTGTTTAATTATCACAAATCTTTGTAATTTGACGGATAATATCATTAAATAAAAAACAAAAATAGAATTATAAGTCAACACCACATTGATCGATGGTGACGATTAATCAAAGAGCCTTGAATAATAATAATACATTACTTATTCCAAGGATTTTATTAACATTCTTTTGCACGTATTATTTTTATCAAATTTTAGCCACTTCATATTACTTCTTAGAAAATGCTGAACACTAAATAAAAACTCGAAAAAATATATTTTTTCTGTCGATATTAATACTTGATGACAATACGAATGAAATGTGTGTTATTTATATAAAATGTACTCTTTAGAAGTTTTTTAATTTAAAATTTTCATGTATTATAACTATCAATCGAACTTGTAAAGCAACTAAGGCGCTATTTTGTTTTTTTTCTTAAAAATTTAATCTCTTGATCTTTCATTCGTTTCTCTATTCTATTTTATTTATATCAAAATAACGATGAGTTCTTCATCAAAAGATCGTGGAAATAAAAGTAAAGATGATTGTCAAATTCATGTTGATAAAGAAGGTGAATCATGTGTCATCAAAATTGAAAGTATTGGTCAAGAAAAAATGCTTAAAGAATTATTAGGTCGTTTTAATAGTTTAAAAACTGAAGTTGATCAATTATTAGTTGAACAACAAAAACAACAACAACCACCAAAAGAAATAGTTACTGCTATACAAGATATAACAACAAAACTTCAACCATTAGAAAATCAATTACAACAAGTAAATAAATATGTTGGAGATAATCAAAAATTACATAATGATTTAAATAAAAAATTTGATGAAATTATACAAGATTTAAATCATTTTAAAGAACAACAAAAACATTTAGGATTATCCAAAGATACACTTGATAAAATACTTCAAAAATTAGATTATCTTGGTAAGTAAAATATTAAATATAATTTATATAAAAATAAGAATTTTCTAGATAAATCAGATTTACAAAATCTTAAACAACAAATTCCAACAAAAAATGATATAAAACCAATTCTTGATGCTGTTCAAAATCTTCAATCATCATTTGATAAAGAAAAACCGAAACCAGATATTCTTGCACGAAAATTAGATTCAATTGATCAAAAATTAAAAGAATCTCATCCGGAACATATGGCTAGTATGAAAGATATTCAAACAAAAATCGATTCTGTACATAAAATAACACCACAAACAAGTGAAACATTAACGAAAATAAATGATCGAATTACATCTATGCATACCGATACAACGAAATCTCATCCTGATATAATTAAAAAATTAGATGATATTAATCATCATTTAAAAGATCAGCCAAATCATATTATTGAACCAATAAAAGAATTTTTTAATGAAAAATTCAATCCTCTTATTGAACATCAAAAAATTCAAGTACAAACTAAAAAAGATGATGAAGAAAAATTAGGTAAGTTGAAATATATTAGTTCTCTAATTATCGAAGGAGACAAAATTCTTTCTTTTGCGTATCAGGCTCTCCAAATATTACTGAAAGAGATCATGATAGTAATAGTCCAAGTCGCACTCCTTTATGTATAAATGGAATAATACCTACTTTATCGAGTTTATCTGATCCGCATGTGCTTCAAGCACTCGCAGGTCAGTTAGTTTTCTAAAAGAACAATAAACACTTACGTCCGTCTTTTCTTCTTAATACACTAGGTGATATTGCAAAGAAATTAGCAGAAATTCAAACAAAAATTTCATCATCAGACGAATTCAAACGAAAACAAGATGATTTGATTGGAAATTTAACTAAACAACAAGTGCCATTAATTGATGAAATCAAACGTTTAACACCAATATTAGATAAATTAAAACAACAACAACAAAAAGATTCAGAAAATTTTAATCAAAATTTAGACAAATCATTTCAACCAATAGCACAAAAATTAAATGATTTATCAAAACAACAAGATTTATTAAATAATATGGATTCAAAATTAAATCATTTAACACAAAATATCGAAAAAGAAAATGATCTTAAAAAACGATTAGATACACAAAGTAAGTTAATCGAAAATACATAATAAAAAGAATGTGCACCATAGGAAAACCCAATCTTGAAGGTGGGTGGGTATTTTGTTTCAACTGCACCCACATCCTTCTATCTATTCCTATTCTAACAGCATTCATGTTTATTATTAAAATGTTAGAAGTCACTATAAAACGAGTTTAGCCTTTTCTTTTGGAATTATCATAATTCGGAACTTCAGATTCTTCGAAAGAAAAAAAGATAAGAGTGTTTATGAATGATTTAATATTTTTCAGCAACTATTGGTAAAGAGATTATTACTCATACTCAACCACTTCAACAAGCTATTGATAATTTATCTAAACAACAACAACCATTAATGGAAGTTATACGTGAAATACCTAAAAAACTTGATCCATTAACACAATCTGTTAAAGCAATAAAAGATGGTTTCTATCAAACTAAAATTCATTTCGTTTTAATCTTTTATTTTTTGTTTCTTTCATAGATCTTGATCATCATCGAGCACAAAATCAAAATCATGATAATGAAACTTTATTAAATATTGAAAAAAAATTAAATCAAGTATTAAATGATCCACAAAAACGATTAGAAACTACACAAGATATTGAAAAAGCTCTTCATCCATTTTCACAAATTATTAAAACATTAAAAGATAGTATGTTATTCCCAAAGACAAAAAAAGAAGATTATTTAAATTCACTTGACAATCTATTCTAGGTATTGAACAATCTTATGTTCAACAACAAACTGAAACAAAAAAATTAGATAACATTGAACAACGTTTATCAAAATCTATTGATGTAACATCGAAATCATCCGATATAATTGATCCTATTATGAATAAATTAAACGAAATAACAATAAATCTAAAAGAATCCAAACAAATAGATCCAACAATAAAAAAATTATCTAATGAAATTGAAACTTTAAAAACGCTTATAGAAAAACAATCAACACCTGATGATATTCTATTGAAATTAAATGAAATAACTAAACAACAAAAAGCTCCGTTTGAAGCAGCACTTAAAGATATTCATTCAAAAGTTGAACCACTTCAACAAGCATCAAGAGATGTATTTATTAAAAAATAAATTTCATTATTTTTATTCTTGTTATTCTAGTCAATTGATATAAAGAAAAAGAATGATGATATTAATAATAAAATTGATAAACTTTTTGATCCTTTAAATAATATTAATCAACAAATTCGACAAATTTCCGATAAATTCAATCATATACAATCAAAAACAAATGAAGATGTATCGAAAAAACCATCAGTGGAATTAGCTAATACATTAAAAAAATTAGATGATCAAGTTGATAAACAACAACAACAAACAAATAAATTATTAAACGATATTCAAAATCAATTAACTCATGTCAATAATAATTTACCTCCTATGAATGATATACCTAAACAACTAGGTCTAAGAATAAAAAAATCTTTCTTTTATAATTATTGAATAAAAATTTTATTTTAGATAAACTAAAAGATACACTTGTGAAAATTCAATCCAATGATGATAATAATAAGAATTCTGCTCATTTAATTCAAGATATGAATGATCGTTTAAAAATTGTTGATGAAACATTAAAACGATTACCTGATCAAATATCATCGAAATCTAAACGTCCATTACATGTTGATGATAATGATGAAAAAACTAATGCAACTAATCTTCGACAAGTTCCATTAAATCAATCGATATCACAGGATTCAAATAAATTAATATCTATATCTGATGGACAAACAGCAAATCTATTTACTAATTTATTAACACTTCAAACAGCTATTCAAAATTCAGATAATGTTTCATGTCAAGATATACAACAATATTTAAAAAGAATTGAACAATTTTCATTTGTGAAAAATGATCATGATTTACAAAAAGTATGTTAGCACATTTGTCATGATTCAGTTTTCTTAGGAAACTTTTCACTTCTGTCACCACAAAATTATTTATTTCTGATGGTTATATGAAGAATCTCTTACGTTAGTTTCTCGTTCTTTGATATGTTATAAGTAGTGAGCGAAATTTCTAGTCTTTTCTCCTTTGTTCTCATCTCTCCTCTTTTATAGACGGAAGCGACCGGAGTTTGGGCTCATATTTCATTTAAAGAATCTGATACAAAAGAGAATCCGAGATCATTCACTGAAGTGAACTCGTTAGATGGTGATTGTCATAGAATGGACTTTGTATCATCGAGTTCTGTCGGAGAAGTTACTCATGATGGAGTAGATAGACAAATTTATAGTAAAACGGAAGTCGTTCTATGAAACTCTTATACGATCGTTACTCGTCGATATGCGCTGCTTCGACAAAAATTAAGAGAAGAGAATCATGATTGTCTTAATGAGAAACACTCAATCATTAAACTGTAACAGTGGCAGAACAGATGACACATTGTGTTTAACGTCTGGCTAAGAAAAACAATAAAAAAAAAGTGTTTTTTTAATTGAAAAATTCTACAAGTTAAAGAATATTGAAATCTATATAATTTATTCTAGTTAATACAACATGTAAAAGATCTATGTTTAAATAACAATACTAATAAAATTAATAATGATTCGAATAAAAATTTAACTAAACGAAACAGTCCTTTAACTAATACTGCTCATAAAAATTCAATTGAACAACATTCTACTACGGACAATTTAGAGAATAATAATCATCGAAAGTCGAATGAAAATAAAGTTTCTTTACCATTTGGATATTTAACAAAATCACGTTATATTTCATTAATATCAGAACAAACAATACGTGATAATTGGCCAAAATTATCTCAACGAGCACGACCTATTATCGAAGAAATTGTCAATAAACCATATGAATTTGATAATGGAACACGTAAAATAAAATTGAACAAAACTTCAATTTTTTTTGTTGTTTTTCTTTCTAAAAGATCTTGATCATCTTATTAAACAAAATGGTCTTGAACAATATTCCTTATTAACACGAAATGCTATTGAAAAATCCGATAAAGATTATGATAAATTATCTTATATGATGGATTCAATTGTTTTTGATAATATGACTATGATTGGTTGTCGTGAAGCATTCATACGTCCTTGGGATCCATCATTACTTAATCGTGCTTCATCCAAAGGATTGTATCCATATCGATCTGTAAATATATTCTTTAAAAGAGAAAAAATTGAATTTCTTTTCTTCTAAAAGGGTGAAGGTCGTGAAATTGAAAGATTTAAAGTAAATAAAGATATATCATTATGGATGGTTGAAACTGATGATACAAAACCGTATCATCCAGCAGAATTTATGCCAAATAATGGACGTTTAAATGAAAAATATGATCGAATTCAACAACCACAATTTACTGAAATTCGTCAAAAACGTCGTGAAGATGAAACACGTTGGAATGAACGATATGCATTTACGAAAGATAATCGAATAGTTTTATTTATAAATGATCTTCGATCATATTTTATGGATTATGATACGAAAAGAAAATATCAAGTACATGATGGTGTACCAATTAATCCTGTTTGTCGAACAGGAATTGCTGGTCGAGGAGATTTACCATTCTGGGGACCTAATCATTGTGTTATTACTGTTTTATTAAGAAATATAAATGAACCTGAAGTTGTTTTAATGAAACATCATGGTAATGCATTAGTTTTACCAAAAGTAAATTAAATAATTTTCATTTGTTTTTTTTTCTTTATCAAAATTTTTAATTAAAGGGTTTTTATGGTCATGAAGCTCGTTATGATAATCAAATAAAAATAGTTCAAGATCCTGTTTCTGGACAAATTCTTCCATCAAATCTTTTTGATTATTGGTGGTCAAATATTGTTAAATTAAATGAAATAAATAATTCAACAAATAATTTAAAACGTATTTTAAATGATAAAGAATTAAAAGAAGAATTTGCTGAAATATTTTCTCAAAAAGGATGTAATAAAAGTGTTGTATGTTTCGTTCTTTTTTTGTTCTTTTTTTTTTGTTTTGAATTTATTTGAAATAGTTTGATAATGGTTATGTTGATCATCCATTAAATACAGATCATGCATGGGTTGAATCAAGTATATGGAAAATACAATTTAAAGATTGGCGTATACCTGAAATGAAATCAGCAAAATATGCGATTGCCGGTAAATTATTCGTATTGATTTATTTTTAAAAACAAATATCTTATTTTATCAATAGATGATTTAAAAACGAATAGTACATTTCCATTTGTTTGGATGAAATTAATTGATGCAATATTAATTGTACCTCCGTTTGATAGAGGTATACTCGTTGATGTACTTGCTACTGGAATGCCATTGTAATTTTAATATATGCAACATCGATATAAGAAAATTATTGCAGAAATAGATAGGAAAAGAATACTTACTCATAATAATCGAATGAATATTTATTTATTTCGATTTCTGTTTTATATATCTCATTTAATAAAATTCATCTATTTCATTTTAATAGAATTGAATATGCAATGTATATAGAAATATTTGAATAGATAACTTATATGATGAACATTAGGATATAGACTTCGAATATCTAATCAATATTGTAAATAAATAAAGGGAACAAATTAAATGATCATATAATAAAGAAAATTGTATATTGATAGCTGCTGTTATTGTTTATTTATTTTTAATATACTCATCTATATTCTTTTTCGGGAATTTGTAATATATATTATATAAAAAAGAATATATAGACTTGTTTTTTATAGCTTTATAAATGTAGTCATTAGTTGATGTTTTGGTCATTACTTTTTTTTTATAGGAGAAATAACATTTCTTTTTTTTTCTCATAGAAAATAACATATTCTACATAGAATTTTAGTAATAAACATTAATTTAGTAGAAAATTTCTTGATAAAAACGAATTATTATTCGACAAATTTAGTTTATTTTATTCAATTCAACATTTAAATACATAATAGAAAATAATTATCAACATATATATTATTCATAAGAAAAGAAAACAATTCAATCTTGCATATGATCTGATATTTAACGTTAATTGCTTTAAAAATTTCTGAAAATTACCTTTGATTATAATGGTAACTGGTTTTAAATATAGAAATAGTTAATAAAACAAAAAAGCACGCTCGATCAACATTATTAATTTGCTTTGGGTTTTTATTTTCTCTCTATTGAATACATGTTCGTATTAGTACAATATTAAGTTGTCTGCATGTGTTAATTCAACATATATAGTCGGATCAAATTCGCCATGACGTCAAGTATTGTTATCTAGTTTAGTAATAAAACAAATTTTTCTCATCTATAAATGAATCATAGCGATAAATATATAAAATAGAGAGATGTGTAAGTATTCAAATGGACTTTTCTTTTATTCCGTTATGGACTCTCATTGAAGCGGAATGCGTATTCGGACGAGATATGAGTGCTTGGTGTCTTCGTTGATTAACATCATCCACATGTAACTGCTTTTGGTTGATGTAACGAGATGCATTGATTTTCTAGAATTTTTTTTTTCTTCTTTATATAGATTTTTTTTTTATTCATTCTTTATTGTATATCTATATGTGCACATAGAATCGACAATCGATGATGACTGCGAATGATTGCACGACGCATTGGATTTAATCGAAGAAGGGGAGAGAGAGAGAGAGGAACGATGCCATGTGTGTGTGTGTGAGGAAGATGCTATCATCATTATAGTACTCATTGAGAGAACAAGGGAAATCTCTCTCATTTCCTCTTTTATTCTCTATTTTTTTATCTTTCGATTGTTTATGGGCTTTGAGATGCACGAGCGCATGTATACAATAAACAAGGTTCCATGTATGTTTCCAAGATGTATGTGTGTGTGTGTGTGTGTGCATAGAGGAAAAGAAAAGAATGAGAACTTTCTCTATTTCTCTATCGTGATAGAATGTCGATGTTAGGGGCAAAATGGATTGTGCGTGAGAAGGAAAAAAAAATATATCTATCTAAAGAAAGTAAGTCGTGCGATGAAACAACGACAATTGATGACATATCGATTGGGAACAGTGTGTCTTCAACTTGCTCGTTATCATGACTATGGGAATACGTGAGTAAATTTTCTTTTTTTAGACAAAATATTTATCACATAAATTTGATGATCAAATTTCTTTGACAGAATAGCGATTAGAAATAAAAAAAAAAAGAAATTTAGTTTTCAGTTCAATAGTTAATCGAACAAATTAATTTTTTTTTTATTAATAAAACTTAATTAAGAATATATTTCATCTTTATTTTGAAACTAACAGTATGTTTATTATGAAATTAGTTTTAGTATGATGAAAAATCGATAGCGACAAATGTTGTTGATGATTTGTACATAAAATTCTGTCTATAATGATCTATCTTAACATATGGCATTAGTTTAGTTGCCATGTTTCTCTCATACAAATGCCATTATCAGGCATGTAGCGATGACGGTGACGAACCAAGTAGCCGCAAGAAAAGATCAATATCCGTTCTCTTTCATATATATATATATATATACACTCATTCTGATGTAAATGTCACTGAGAATAAAGGAGCAATTCATTGTCACCGTCATCAACTAACATCACCTTCACCAACAATTCTCGTCGTTTGTTGTCTTACTAATTGTATTGACATAAATCTGATGGTTGCTGCCCGTCGTCACAGTGGTATCAATTACCATGCGTGTGCACGTCATCTTTTAACATATTACTCTAGATAAAAAAATATATGAGAGAGACAGAAAAAAATTGGAGATGATGAAAAAAAGAGTGTTCAGATTGCATCAATGAAATTGACGATAGCGCCACAGAATCTATGTATATTCAAATCCTGATAATGATTTCTTCCTATGTTCTGTGTCTTTCCTATCACCATGCGCACCAGCCATGCCAAATAAATCAGCATACATATATAAAGACTTTTTCTTTTTTTTTTTCTCTATTCTTTTTTATATCGGCCGATTATTTCTTTTCTCTCTCTCCCTCTCCCTCTCTCTCTCTTTTTCGCTATTCCTCATCGATGAAAGAAACTAACCGAAAAAATGAGAAAGAGAGAAATCGAGAGACGACGAGTTTGCCAACACATCACGCTACCCATATACAAAAATCTTATTCTTCGCTCTCCTTCTTTTTTGTAATGCTGGCATAGCGTGAACATAACATATAGTCGATAGAGAAGAGGGGGAGAAGAGAGACAGGGAGAGAAAAAGTGACATTGCGCTACAAACACACATACACGCACAACAACACTCATTCTCTCTCTATAAGCACATATATCTACAAGGAGAGTCTAATGATGAGAATGAAAATAGTAAGATCACTCTTATATATTCAATGATCCACACAATTTCTTTTTTTCATTATTTTCTTTAAAAAGATATATTTTATTAATCTATCTGTATTATAATTAGAAAAAGAAATAGGTACGTTTTAATTCTTTTTTTTTCCTCCCTAAATTTATTCTTCTTTTGACAACTTAATATGGCATTAATCCAACAATTCTTATGTGTTTAGAAGAAAAGTAAGAATATATATATATATATATTTTTAGTAATGACGCTATTGATTCGCTTTTTTTTCTTCCTTCATATTGACGGAAACCGCGTTTTTGACAGTTGCATCGCATGTGAATCAGCTGAAGGAACCAAAAAAAAAGAAAAATAAGAAGACGAAGAAAATCGAGTATACATAGATAGACTATCACCAATCAATATTTCCTAAGATCAATAAGCAGTTGCGCGAGAAAGTGGCCACATCCAAAAAGAAGGCCAAAACAACAACAATAAGACATCGAAGGTGATCCAGATAGAGAGTGTAGATATTTACTCGAAGGCTTAAAAGAAGAAAAAAAGAGCTATGATTTCACCACCTACTAGTTTTTTTGTTGTTTTTTTTTGCCGAGAAAAAAGGTCAGAACTCCAAATTTTTATTGACTCATAGTCAAGGATTTTTCTCTTTTTTTTCTTTTTTCTTTTCTGTTATATTATTATTATTTCAGATTTTATTCTACTTATATATTATATGAAATCGATAAGCGTTGGTAATGCACGCCTGAAATTTTTCTCAAACCTTTGCTCTAATGTGAATAGGTGAGCAAAGTTTCAGGTGTATTGACCCAACACATTCTCTCCGTTATATATATATATATTCATATATTATCTACTTAATTCAAGTAAGTGTTTTTCCCGATTACCACCTGTTTATGCACGAAGACAAATAGTATTACCAAAGTTACGATTTAAACAAATTTGGATGTCAATTAAAATATCTTCAAATTGGTGGAAGAGAGAAGCAAAAAAAAGAGACAAAAGATCAGATAACTATTCATTTCTTCTATTATTACTAACGATATATACATATATATACTTGTTCGGAAAGAGTTTTCTTTTTCTCGTAGCAAGGACAAACTAAAATGGTAAAAATAGAATGAGAGGAGTACACAGTAGAAAAGCAAAATCTGATTAAATAAATTTTATCTGATAATATCTGAAACAAAATCTTTTTTCCTTTTAATGATTTTATGTGAATTTAGAAAATATTCAAGTAATATCTAAATAGATCATGTTTTTCGAATGATTAATAGAATTTAAATCTATATTATCAGATAAATGTGCATTTGATTCTATCGTTTATGATGCAAAAGACAAATTCCATCCAGTTGTTCACATAAGAATCAATATCCAACATAAATCTCTTATCTTATTGCTTATTGCATCGGAATCGGATGCTCTTCTTCTTCTTCTCTTATGGCTTAATTCAATTAAAAGATAAGCAGATCCACTTGTATATTTTGTACTTATTGTACGATGCTTACGATTAAATTCTTAGATTTTTTTTTCTCCTCTTCTATTCGAAAGAAGCAACAGTTAACAAAAAGCAATGCAATAATAACAAATAAATACTAATAATAAAAAACGATGACAGTTATTTGCCTAATCAATAGCTTTTCTGTTATGTCTTTTTCATTCGAACACCATTTTATTATAATTCATTCTTCTTCTCTTCTTGTTCTTCTTGTTCCTCTTCTCCTTCTTCTTCTTCTTTTTTTTCTATGTTCTCTTCTACCACAGGCGCTGGTGTTGATATTATTGTAAAAAGCTCATCAAGTTGATCGGCTTTACAATATTCTAGATAAATAAAATCATATGTATATATATATTAATAAAAAAAATAATCCGTATTTATTCTTACGATGCGTTTCAATACATAAAAGTTCTGCTAATTGTCGAGATGTTTGTATATTTTTATTTTGAGTAACAAGTAAATCAATAAGACTATCGTGATGTTCTTCAAGAATATCATCACACTAAAAGTATAAAACAGTAAAATGATATGTCATAACAAGGCCTATGTAAATGTATAATAACCTTCGAGTAAATAAATAAACAGATAGATATAATTTAAAGGTTTCTAGTTTATTCATCACATATTATTTTATACATTTGTTTTCTTTTCTAACATAGATCAACAAAAGAATTTGTATGAAAAGGTCTTCTTCTTCCTTTTTTTTTGTCAAAAAAGAAAAAACTTTGTTTCTATATTAATTTTCATGTTACATAAAAAAAAAGACATAATATTAATTTATATCAATTGCGTGACATATTTATCTATTTCTGTCCCCTTTAGCAAATAATCCAGTGAAATTGAAGATAATCGTTCTGTCATCAATCTTCTCATACAAATAACTATTATCACTTTTTTTTTAGAATATTAAAAAAGTCTATTTTTTATTCTGCATGACAGATGGAAATGATTTCTCATCATCGATTTCTTTTCTCTTTCTCTCTCTCTCCCTTTTTTTATGTAATCGAGATCTTTCTTCAGAAGCGTTTACAATCATCATTCAGACACGACTAATATTGACGCACTACCCTTACTTACTCGAGTTTTCTTTTTTTTTTGTCGTCGATCTCGTTCTTTCTGTTTTATTTGAATAGAAAAAATGGTAAAAGACACAGAGGGAGAGAGAGAGAGAGAGATATTTGCCTACTTTTAATTATACGACGACAAGCAGAGGAAGAAATGTCAACAAAGCAAGGCTCATATTTTTTTTTTGATGGTGTCTACCTAATAAATATGCTCAATCGATTCAATGGTCGATGAACGAGGTTACAATTCAGGAAACGGATGTTAATAGCACATATAGAATAATGAAGAAAAAAAAAATCAACTGAATTTATTTTAAAATATGGAATTAGAAATTCTATCCTATTACTATTTTAAAAGTTAATTTCTATGAAATAAAATTTATACTAATGAAAATTCAATGAGTTACAAGATACGATTTCTTATCTGATTAACAAACTTACAGCATGTTCATAAAGATTTTTTAAATGTTTTGGTATTTCTTCTTGATCTATTCAAAAAAAAATAAAATAAAATTTTTGAACAATATTCTTATAAAAAATTTACTATTATTAATAATTTTTGAACAGATATTATCCACAACATTTTCTGAATGATATCTTGTCTCAATAATCGGCACCTGTAATACAATATATAAATATTATTTGAAAAAAACGGAGAGAAAAGAATATTACATCTTTTAGTTTTTGATGTCCATGACCATCAACACGATATGATCCAACTTGAACACGTTCATTGGGATCAGCATTATTCATTTCACGAAATATTGTTTCACTCATTGATTTACATGCTAAACAAAAATAAGATAAAATATAAATTTTATTCAAAAAAAAAAAATAATTTTTACCTGAACAATAAAAATCTTGTTTTTTTCTTTTGATATTATCATTATTCGATGTTTCTTGACTAGTAACAAATATTATAAATGTAAACAAGAAAATAAATAAAATATATACATATGAATTCATCTAAAAATCCAAATAATCATTTTAAATTTCAATCGTAATTATATACATAATAGAAAAATATTTTAAGTTTTATTCATGCTAAATATCTTATATTGAACACCATTAATAAGAACAATTGCTCCATCAAGAGTACTTGGATCAAGTTGAATATCTGATGATGATGATGATGTCGTATTTGTTTCTTGTTCATTTGTATTTATAGTTAAAATAGGTTGAGAAGGAATTTCTTTTGGTTGTTCAATTGGTTTTGGTTGTATAGAAGGTAGTGAAGTTTCATTTGTTTCTGATGTCATCGTTTGATCAAGAGAAATTCCAGTATGTTGTTTAAATAATTCTTGTAATTGATCATATTCATGTTTTAATTTATTTATACGTTCAGTTAAGTCTTGATTTTCTTCTTCTAATTGATTGATTGCGTCAAGTGTTTCATCACGTTCACGACGAGATTTTTCACGTGATTTTTTTACACTATCATTATTTCTTGCACGTACTTGATCATAACGTGGATCTGTACGAGGAACAGAACGACGTTGCATTTTTTTTTCTTAAAAGTTACAATTAACGGACAATCTTTAATAGATAACAATATGATCGATGAGCAATGCCAAAAAAGAATAAAAAGAAATTTTTGGTGATTTATTTGCTTTTACTCGTTAATTATGGATATGTAAGTATTAGTTTGAGTAAAACTACGAATAATACTACCTGAAGATGAGAACCATATGATGACAGGCTAAATTTTTATTGGTTTATTAGAATATACATTTAGTATTGGGCCATTTGTACGAATAGAATTCGATTTTTATACCTATTTACTCAAAAATATAATTTAGTTATGAAATCTTATTTTTATTTTATTTTTAACCAATATGAATGAACTATAAAAGAGATTAGTTATAAAAAACTCATTCATCATTTAGTGACATCTTTCAACTCAATCTATTTTTTTACTCTAGCTCGAAAACCAAGCAATTGTCATCATCTTCGAATTTATACGATGATTTGCGTAATTTCAATTCATTATCCAGTGGAAAAAAACCATCGCGTAGTACATCAACTATTGAATATGTTAGTCCATATCGAATGGAAGGTCCACAGGTAAAACGGTAAGGTTGAAATATTCAATTTTTTTACAATAATTATTAGTGTATAGACCTACGGTAAGCTTGATCTTGCCTGCACCAACAACATTGGATACAATTGTATCCATTGATGATACAAAACAATCAACAATAAATGAACTAGAAAATAAATATGAGTATATATTTTTAAAGAAAAAAAATAATTATCTATAAAAAAAGATTTTTTCATGTATATATAGAGATCAAAATTCGGTAATAGAAGTAGATGATTATTCATGTATATGTTGGATCGTACGGAAAATAATAGAATTGATTTCTATAGCTTTGTTTACTTGTCTTATTGGTATGTTTATCTTTACTATACTTTTCTGTGTTTTCGATACTTATTGGCTTGAACAACCAGTTATCAATAATTCATCATGGTCGTGGTGGTTCGACAATGATAATAATAATAGTAGTTTTTGAGGATTATTGAATTTTTTTATATTATAATATCAATCTTCCTAATGCTTTTATATCGTCATATACTTTCTTCAATAATCAATAAAACTGAAATGTTCTATAGATAAGCAATATGTCTATTTATTATATTTTTGTAGAACTGGATAAAATAATATGATAGTTCATTGTGAGGATTTTTTCTAATATGCTGAATTACTATTTTTTCGTAATTCACTGACTTTCACTTTTTGATAGATGATTATTTGTTCTGTTTTTATGCCTTCTATAACAAATATTTTATTTCTATTTTCCTTCCCTTTTTCTGTCAGACAAATTCAAGTACAATAACTAATTTTAACAAGTTCTTATTCATATATCTATATTGTAGTAACATTATCCAAGTAAATAAAAACTAGACAAGAGAAAACAAAAAAAACACGTTTAATAGATTTTGTCACATGGTTCAAATATATGCTTTCCTGTTCGAGGTTTAGTATCATTTATTGACAGGGTTAAATACTCGTTTTAAATTAAATGTGCGTCATTAGTCACGTAGGCTAAGTATTTGGCTGATATTCTGATAGAGAGATTTTTCATTACCTACACAGTTTCTATAAAAAGCATCGTGTAGCAATGTAATAAAATGTTCATCATCGTAGAAAATAATCGATGATTTCTTTCTTTCAATGAATATATTCATCATCTGATTCATGAGTGATTTCGGAACAGCATACTGAATTAAATAGAAACTCTCTTGTGCCTTAATATCTTTCATAAACAAATCGACCGAAATAAATCTATAAAACTTTTAGATAGAAGAGTATAATGAATGCATGAAGGTAATTTATTCATATTTTACTTAGAATCACACCGTTTTCATTTCATTTATTTCTATTTACATATTCAAATGTGATAAAACTTTTCTTGAGAAATATTGCTAAAAGATAGAATATATCTACGTTTTATTCGTACAAGCAGAAAACGAAGACAAATAAAGATTGAATAAAAAAGAGACTAATCAAAGAAATATGTTTGAAACACGTTTCTATTCAGTCTCTCATATACGATTAAATTATTCTTAAACTTCTGTTATTTTATTTGACATTTTTGAACTGATTATCCCGTATTTATAGAATTATATTTAGTGGAAAAAAAATAAATAAGTACAATATTTTTCAATAACAAGAAAAATTAAGTTGATTTTGGAAATTCTTTGGCAATTCTTTCGTTAAATGTGGTAAAATCATTGATCCAGTTGTGAAGAAAACCATCATAATTTTTACCACCATTTTGATTAGCGAGTGATTGTAACATTTTTTCTTGACATAACTGAAATGGATACATAGCATCTGGATAACAACAATAGTATGTAAGTTCATCTGCAGTACATGCTTTCTTCATTTGTGATCGCCAATTTCTGATAAGTTGATCACTTCCTGGAACTCCACTATGAAGCTTCAAGAATCGAGCATATTCCGAACTTTTTTTAATCGTATCCAATGACTTTTTCTCATCTGAACATTGTTTTCCATATGTACTTTGCATTAGTTCTGGATGATTAGTACATTTATCTTCAAGTGTATGACTGTCAACAATATCGAACACCTGACTTTTTGACTTATCGCAACACAAACCTATTGTAAAGCATCGTGCTTGAAAAATGCCACGAATTGTGTTTTTTGGAGAATTCATCATATACTTCCGATAGATTTCAGCCATTTTTGCCGCATCATTCTTAATTTTTGCTGGAGAGATTTCTCCTTGAACATAGATTGTGCTAATCACAAAAATAATAATTAATTTAGGTATTATTTCCATCATTTAACTAGAAAAAAAGAAATTTCTTAATGTATAAAAATAAATAAATATATAGTAGTTTACTTGATTGTCGAGAAGAAATGATGTATACAATATGAATCGGTTAACATGATATTTATACGAAGAGAAGAACAATGACTAGACCTGGATATAATAAAGAATCGATAAAGTATTCTTCTGAGATAAATACATGTCATAATAATATTATTCTAGTGAAAAAGAAAGCAATGATCTTTGTGTAAGAAAAATGGTTAAATGTATATTCTAGAAGTTAAATAAGTCATCGATCGAAGTAAACAGGCATTATTTATCATATTGTTTCGATTCACTTCAGAACGAAACGACCTGACATGTGCCTGTTTACATAGAATTGTAACTTTTATTTATTTGTTTACATAGTGAAGTTCAACTAGATTGTCTGATTATTTTCATTTGTGGAAAGAAAAAAACAATTGTTGAACAATGTCTAATATAAAAATGTGATCATTAATAATTGTTCGAAAATATTTTTTCGTTTTTTTAATTGAAATAAGAAACTAAGTGAAATGAAATAGAAATGACAATATTCTTCAAAGAGAATAGTTATATAGATTATTTCATATGAGGGTGTGGGTGGATGTATATGAAGAAAATATGAATCTAAGCTCATACCTACCCACACCCACACTCACACTCTTGAGAAAAATTGCTAAAAGATTCAATACATCTACTTTTTGTTCGTACAAACAGAAAACGAAGAGACATAAACATTGAATTTCCCCTAAACTTCTGCTGTTTTATTTAATATTCTTCAGCTGGTTTTGTCATTGATTAATTTTTAAACTTTTCTCTTTTACACTGATATCTATAAGTATTGTTGAAAAAATCTTCATTCTGAAGAGAAACTACAAAAGTGAATAAATTCTATTTGATTAGAACTTTCTTTTGCCCTTGCGTATAATCTTGACCAGTTTCGAATAAGAATTCAACAAAATTCATTTCGATTGTTTCTTCGAAAACTTTCTGATTAATTACAAAGATAAGTATCCTATATTTATATAATTGTATTTAGTACAAAAAAAAGACAAGTAGTACAATATTTTTTAATAAGAAGAAAATTAATTTGATGGAGGAAATTCTTTGACAATTCTTTTGTTAAGTGTAGTGAAATTATTGATCCAGTTGCGAACAAAAGCATCATAATTCTTTCCACCATTTTGTTTAGCTATTGAAAGTAACACATGTGCTTGACATTCTCGAAAATACTTCATATAATCTGGTGCATAATAATAAATTGTAAGTGCATCTGCATCACATGATTTCTTCATTTGTGATCGCCAGTTTCTGATAAGTTGATCACTTCCTGGAACTTCACTATGAATCTTCAAGAATCGACCATATTCCGAACTTTTTTTAATCTGATTTAGTATCGTTATCGCCTGTGAGCAGAATTTTTTATCTCTATCTGAGCTTAATTCTGGATGATTAATACATTTTTCTTCAAGTGTATCATTGCTAAGAATGTCGAATATCTGACTGAATAAATCACTGCAACAGTAAGTTAGTATATCGCATTGTGTTCGATAAATATCAACAATTGTGTTTTTTGGAGATTTCTGAGTGTAGTTTCCATAGATTTCAGCCATTTTTCCAGAATCATCCCATATTTTTTCGAAAAAGATTTCTCCTTGAACATAAATTATAGTAATCGCAAAAATAATAATTAACTTGGTTAATATTTCCATCATTTAACTAGAAAAAGAAAATCTCTTAATATACAATGAATAAATAAATATATAGTGGTTTACTTGATTATCGAAAACAAAAGATGTATACAATATGAATCAGCTAACGCAATATTTATACGAAGAGAAGAACAATGACTAGACCTGGATGTGAGAAAGAATCGATAAAGTATTCTTCTTAGGTAAATACATGTCATAATAATATTATTCTAGTGAAAAAAAAATCAACGATCTTTGTGTAAGAAGAATGACTAAATAAATCATCGATTGAAGTAAATAGGCATTATTTATCGTATTGTTTCGATTCACTTCAGAACGAAACGGCCTGACATGTGCTTGTTTACACAGAATTGTAACCTTTATTTATTTGTTTAGGATGTAGGTGTGGGTGAAGAAAAGATGAATTTAAAGCCACACCCACTCACGCTCACCCTTATTAAAATGTGGTAAATTTTTTTTTTGAGAAAAATCTCTAAAAGATAGTATTTTTACGTTTTGTTCGTAGAATCAGAAACAATATATATTTATTTTAAGGTATCGAGAACACTCCAAATTTTTGTTCTCATATCTGAAGGATTTTCACCATAATAATTATTAATCATAAATGAGAAAACAAATGAATTTTCTCTAACATATCCAGCATAAGCAATAGTATTCATCAAGGTACCACTTTTCATTCGCAATCCATTTATAATCGGAAAAGCTTCATAATAAACATCATTAAACCATGCTTCTTTTTGTATTTGAAAAAGAATTTGTGTTAAAGTATAAGTACTTAAACGATTACTACGTGAAAGACCAGATCCATCCATTAATGTCATTCCATTCAAGAATTTCTCATTGTTCAATAATGTTTTAATATATAATGGAAGTATTTTCACAGGAGCATCTAATAATGAACTTTGTTGAGTTTTATGAGCAATTGTTTTAATAAATACTTCACCATACATATTAATACTATTACGAAGAAAAGGTTGAAGTAATTTTGATAATGGTGGTGATTGATGAATGTCAAGTAGAATTACTCTATCTGCTTTAATTAAATCAACTGTTGCTTCTTGTTCTATTTCAATTTTATTTATTCGTAATGCTTTAGTTAATTCATCAGCAACATACAAAGCTGAATTAGGTACAGCACAATGAAGAGAAAAATCAGCAGATGCATTTATTGATACAAATCCACGTAGATAACCTATATTAGAGCCGTCGAATGAAAAATAAAGAGATGCTTCACCATCTGAAGTTGAAGTAATCAATTCATTTCTAATTTGTAATCGAGGTGGTGGATTTTTGATTTCACCAAGATGAGCCGGAGAATTAATAGTAGGACCAGGTTGTACTGCTATAGTAAATTCATTTTCTCGCCAATTTAATGCTGAATGACCTGTACCATACGAATGTCTAAATAAAATTTTACAGAATCAAATGTGATACTTTTTTTGAAACTATTTTTCTAGTAACCACAATATAGATTATAAAAACATACCCAATATCATTCCATGTCCATCCATCAATGAGAAGTGTCTGTGTATTATTCCATTGACTAGTATCACCTATAATACCTTGACATTTTTTAATTCCAGCTTTTTTTATAGCATCCACCCATTTCTTTATAATAAGATCTGCTGTAGTCATTTTATCATATCGCCAACTACCTAATGATGGATCTCCACTACCTATTATACATTATAAGAATAGTATGAAAGACAAAAATAAAATTTTGTTTTTATCGTACCGACGATATAAATATATCCATCAAGAAAGCCTGTTTCTGGATGAATTGTACCCGAATATTGTAATAAAGTTTCATATGTATAATTTGGACCAAGATAATGTAAAGCAGCAGCAGCAGTAATTGTTTTAAGTGATGAAGCTGGCGGAAGGCCAATATCTTTTGCATGTTGAAAAAGAATTGAACCTGTTTGAGCGTCCAAAATAGTCATTGAATATGATGCATGAGCAACATGAGACTCTTCAATATATTTTTGCCATGCATTAGTAAAATTTTCTAATTTAAAAAACATATTAAATAATTAAAAGTAAATATTTAAAACTATAAATCAATCTACCAATATGATTCATGCTAACGACTGATGAGAAATAAAATAAATGAAAAAGAAATTGAATCTAAAAACCAGATAGGTTTTTATT